TTTTTTTTTTTAGAAAACTGTATAACACCATAGTTGTATAATTGGTATGAAAACGTGAAAAGCGGGGGGAGCATTTTTAGGAATACATAAAATATCAAAATTGACTAAAAGAGGTACAAAAAACTTAAATGAATCAATAGCCCTAGAAAAAATGGAGAAAGCTATCCAAGGGCTATCCCCCAAAGCTCCAGGCTCACCAGGTTATATAAGAGTGACTCATTTTTAACCTTCCCAAAAAGAGTAATTTCTAAACTGTTTCACATTTTTCCAAATACGGAGGAAGATGAAAATGTCATCGCGATTTATTTATGAAGCGAAAATGTGACAAAGTTAGCCTAAAGAAAACTGTAGAGCAACTTTATTTGTGAATAGCAATATAAGAATTCTAAATAGAACATTAACCCATCTCAACTTCATTAGTACATTAAAAAAGTTAAGTGAATCAGTGAGCTCAAATTAGTAATGCAGGTGACTCATGCCAGGAGACGTAGGAATAGAATTCACTGTTCTAGTATTAGGTCAAAGGACGGGGGGAAGTGTGATCATCATCATACACACTAAACAAAAGCAATTCATAAAATTCAACATTTTTTTTTTTTTTTTGAGATGGAGTCTGGCTCAGTCACCCAGGCTGGAGTGCTTGGCTCACTGCAACCTCTGCCTCCTGGGTTCAAGTGATTCTTCTGCCCCAGCCTCCCAAGTAGCTGGGATTATAGGCACCCGCCATCATACCCAGCTAATTTTTGTATTTTAGTACAGACAGGCTTTCACCTTGTTAGCCGGGCTGGTCTCGAACTCCTGACCTCAGGTGGTCCACCTGCCTCAGTCTCCCAAAATGCTGGGATTACAGGTGTGAGCCACCACACCTGGCCAAGTAATTTGAAAAATATAATGAGAACCATTGATGTCGGAAATCTCACTTCTGAGCTGTGGAGTGTTTACCTGCTTAGGAAGGTGGGGGTCAGGGGAGGGGGGGATGTTAACTGAAAAGAGCACAGTTTGAGAAAAACTTGAGTGCCACATCAGCTATTTAGTATGGATTTAAGATTGGCTAGCAATCCATGTTTATGACATTAAAGGAAATTTTTGGTGAGTGACAAATTTACTTTCTTCAAGATAGATGATAATTTGTCATTCTACGATATGGCACCTTCCTTCTGTAGTCGTTCCTTCTAAATGCATTTGAAGAAACTCTACCCCCTGATTCTTTCTTCTAGATAGCTACCCGGAAAGCATGTGGTTTGGCTCTGGCTAAGCTGGGCTATGCAAACGACAGAGTCATTGTGCTGGATGGTGACACCAAGTACTCTACCTTCTCTGAGATATTCAACAAAGAGTACCCTGAGCGTTTCATCGAATGCTTTATGGCTGAGCAAAACATGGTGAGTGTATAGTGTCTCTCAGGGCTTCTTACAATTAATGGCCCACTGGACACAGGAGGCCCAGCCTGTGCTAGTTTTTCTTTCCATTTATGAAAGCAAAAGGAGTGGAAAAAAAATTCCAGGGAAACAGGAGGCAAGTAGCCAGGTAGAGTCTGAGAGGTGGCTTCTAGGTCTGCTACGAGGGCCGTAATAGACTACTCGGCACTCTCTGGGCACCCTCTCCAAGTTGGCTGAGGGCAGCAGGCCCAAGGCCACAGACAGTGGGCCCTCTGAGCCTAGAACCATCTGAACCCAGGGCTCTGGGCCTGAAGCATCCCAGGCTCCCTAGTAGCTCATTCTGCCCAATTCTGCAACCACCCAGAGGCACATTGGTTGAGGAGTCACAGGGAATGCAATTTTTTTTTCTCCACTGTAGAGGGGCCTAATATATCACAGAAATGCAAATGTTGTACTTACTGCAGTCACAAGAATATCAATACTTAGAGCTGGTGCCTTAGGCAAAGCCATTCTGCTTATCTGTGCCTCAGTCTCTCCCCAGAGGGATACTGATGCAGCGAGTATCTCAAGCACATGCACACAAGCACACCTTTCGAGAGAGGAAGGAGTTACTGCCAGTAAAACCCTTTGAACTCGAAAGCTCCAGAAAACCACAGGCCAGCAGGTCTTACGTGACCACCAGTGACTTTATGTGGAACAAGTAGTATTTTTTAAAAAATTTTTTTGAGACGAAGTCTCGCTCTGTCGCCCAGGCTGGAGTGGAGTGCTCGGTTCATTGCAAGTTCCGCCTCCTGGGTTCATGCCATTCTTCTGCCTCAGCCTCCCGAGTGGCTGGGACTACAGGCGCCCGCCACTACATCTTGCTAATTTTTTTGTATTTTTTTAGTAAAGACGGGGTTTCACTGTGTTGGCCAGGATGGTCTCGATCTCCTGACCTCGTGATCCGCCCACCTCAGCCTCCCAAAGTGCTGGGATTACAGACATGAGCCACCGCGCCCGGCCAGTGTTTTAAATTTTTTAAAAATCAGTTGCCAGCATTTAAAAATCAGATTATAGGTGTGGTGGCACAAGCCTGCAGTCCCAGCTACTCGGGACTCTTAAGGCAGGAGGATGCTTGATCCTGGGACTTTAATGCTGCAGTGTACCACTGCATTCCAGCCTGTGAAACAGCGAGACCCCATCTCAAAAAAGAAAGAATCAGGAGGTCTTATATAGAATATACATTTCTGGATTCTTTTGAAAGATGGGAAGAACTGCTACCACAGGGTGGCATTCCTTCCTGACGCCAGTTGACTGAAGCCAAAAAGCACCCCTGTTGAGATGGGTACCCCCACAGCTCCCCATGCTCTGCAGGGCCATTTGATTTTTTTGTTGTTTTTTGTTTTTTGTTTTTTCAAGATGGAGTTTCTCTCTCTCTTTGTCACCAAGGCTGGAGTGCAGTGGCACGATCTCAGCTCACTGCAACCTCTGCCTCCCAGGTTCAAGCGATTCCCTTGCCTCAGCCTCCCAAGTAGCTGGGATTACAGACATGCACCACCACGCCTGGCTAATTTTTGTATTTTTAGTAGAGACAGGGTTTCAGAAACCATGTTGGTCAGGCTGGTCTCCAACTCCTGACCTCAGGTAATCTACCTGCCTCGGCCTCCCAAAGTGCTGGGATTACAGGCATGAGCCCCCGAGCCTGGCTCATTAAGCTGTTTTCATTTTGAATGGAAAACAATGCAATCCATAATTTTCTGGATTGACGTTCCTATCAAAAAGTTTGCTCCCCACCTCACTGGTTCCCTCAGCACACAGCCATGTAGTCTTTTCCGTGCCTGCTGATATGTTCTCACAGTTGGAAAAAAGTTGTAAAGAAAAGGCGAGCAGGTGGTATTTAGTGCCATGCTGAAAAAGGTGGCTACAGTGTAGAACTTGACCGGGGCAGTCAGGGACAGCCTCTCAGAAAAGGTGATACTTAAGCTGAGTCTCACGTGGCGAGGGGTCAGCCGTGTACAGATGTGGGAGACAGCGTTTCAAGCAGGGGGCATGGCCAGCTGTAGGCAGGCCCAGGCTTGGGATGTTTGGAGAGCAGAGGGAAGGCCAAGTGGTAGAAGCATGGTGAACACAGAAAGCTCTCCAGGGCCCAGGTCATACGGGGTCTTACAGAGGCCCTGTTCAGTATCTGTGGCTCTCTTGCAGTTTGCTGGGAAGCAACTGGAGGGCTTTAAGCAGGAAAGCAACAGCCTGCATTTTCCAAAACTCTGAAGAGTGAAGAATGGCTTCACGTAGGAAAGGGAGGAGAAGGAGAGGGTGACTTGGACCAGGGCAGTAGCTGTGGAGTCGGAGGGAAGCAGACTTGTCACATACTGCCTTGGCAGGAGAGCCAGCAGGATGCCAACAGCAGGTGTCAGGACAGGAACCAAGGCTGGCACTTGAGTGTGGGCGGCAGCACCTGAGGGAAGGTGGTATCACCTCTTGAGATTGACAAGACTGGGAGAGAAGTGGACTGGGGGGCACCAGCAGGAGCTCTCTGTGGGCCTAGGGGGTTGGGGCACCGGTTAGATGTACGGAGGAGAGACAGTGGTATCAGATGGCTGGGCAGTAGATCAGTCAGTCATTTTCACATGTGGCTGCTCCACACCGCTAAATGCAGTTTTCTAAACTACATATACCTTGGCATAGTTTTTAAGCTAACATCATTTTTTTATTTTTGTTTTTTGTAGAGACACAGTCTCGCTCTGTCACCCAAGTTGGAATGCAGTGGCACAGTCATGGCTCACCGCAGCCTCTAAACTCCTGGGCTCAAGGGGTCCTCTGGCCTCGGCCTCTTGAGGAGCTGGGACTATGAGCATGAGCCACCATGCCTGGCCACATCTAAATTTTTAATCACAAATTTAAATAGTTGCAAAGGATGTAGTAGTTCATACATTGACATTTTTGATACTTGAATACTCAAATCATGCCGTTAAAGATGACACTGGCTAGGCATAGTGGCTCACCTGTAATCCCAGCACTTTGGGAGGCTGAAGCTGGAGGATTGCTGGAGTTCAAGAGTTCAAGACCAGGCTGGGCGTGATGGCTCATGCCTATAATCCCAGCACTTTGGGAGGCCAAGGCAGGTGGATCACGAGGTCAGGAGATGGAGACCATCCTGGCTAACATGGTGAAACCCTGTCTCTACTAAAAATACAACAACAACAAAAAAAATTAACCAGGCATGGTGGCAGACGCCTGTAGTCCCAGCTACTCGGGAGGCTGAGGCAGGAGAATGGTGTGAACCCGGGAGGCGGAGCTTGCAGTGAGCCGAGATCGCGCCACTGCACTCCAGCCTGGGCAACAGAGCGAGACTCCATCTAAAAAAAGAAAGAGTTCAAGACCAGCCTGAATAACATAGTGAGACCTGGTCTCTAATTTAAAAAAAAAAAAATTCATGCTAAGCCACTTTTCTTTGTCAGAAATTAAATCCCTTTTTCTACTTTATTTCCAATTTCCATTCCATTCATTTCCCCAATATATCTTTATGCATGAAAGCCTTTTATTGATTGTCCTTTAATTTTTTCTGCAACAAAAATATGCATATAAATTGATAGCTTTTTAAAAAAAATTATAGGCCTCTGAGCATTAGGTTTTTTCTGAAGTGAGATAGAGTTTTTATTATTATTAGCTAGTATGTTAGTGGATGAATATACTTGTAATTTGAATGTGATAGCATTGAGAACAGATTCTGTTCCTGTTTTTCATTTTAATGATGTGCTACGAAACCTTACATGAATAAGTAGATGGGAAGGGAAGTTTTGTTGGAGGAATGTCACTCAATTCTTTGAATTCCTTCCCAGTTATAAGCCAAAAAAATCACATACTGATCTTTCATGTAAAGTTGTTTATAAAAATTATTTGCAGAGTTGACAGTTTCATTAGTTAAGTTCTTCACTTTCTCTCCACCAGCATAGTTATTTCAAATTGTCCTCTTTGCTTGGGTCTGGAGGTTCTTCACTCCAGGATGATCCCCGTGTAAGAGTCAGGTGACTGAGAGCATGCCCTTTGGAGATCAGGTTGCTAGGAGGTGATTGTTAAAAGAGACAGTAGGAGACCCGGGGCAGTGGCTCACACCCATAATCCCAGAACTTTGGGAGGCCAGCCGAGGCAGGTGGATCACCTAAGGTTAGGAGTTCGACACTAGCCTGACCAATATGGTGAAACCTCGTCCCTACTAAAAATACAAAAATTAGCCGGATGTGGTGGCAGGTGCCTGTAATCCCAGCTACTCGGGAG